AAACGTGCTTGAAAACTAGACAAAATTCCCTTCAAAACGAAGCAAAGATCGAGCTTCTAGAACATTCCTGGGTCGAGTTACAGCCATTTGAAGTTTGGAGGTCAGAGACGCAGTGTGTCTCGTTTCTCTGCGTCTCTCACCCCGAAATCTTCAAATCGCTATAACTCGGCTCAAAATAGAGCTAGAAACTTGCTTTTTGGTGGATTTGGAAGGAAATTTTGTCTGTTATTTATTGTATGTGTCTGAATCCAAATTTTTTGTGTTTGAAAAATTTCATTTTTCCGAATTCTGAAAAACCCGTTTTTGTCCAAATTTGCCATTTTAGCCCGGCCCGCGACTTGTTAATAAACCTGCATCCGGCCCGTATGGTAAAGCTAAGATGGGCCTTGTCGAGATCTATCATTTGATATCAAATCCGTCGAAATATTTTGTTCTGAAGCCGAGTTATCTGCCGGCCCGCCATCTGCCCGGGCCGGCATGTTTGCAACTAAGAACTTTATAGATATTCTAAAAATAGACAAAATTTTATTTCAAAACGCACTAATAATCAAGTTTCTAGAACATTCCTGGGCCGAGTTACAGCCATTTAAAGTTTGGAGGTCAGAGACGCAGTGTGTCTCGTTTCTCTGCGTCTCTCACCTCGAAATCTTCAAATCGCTATAACTCGGCTCAAAATAAAGCTAGAAACCTGCTTTTTGGTGGGTTTTAAAGGAAATTTTCTGTATTTTTTGATTTCTTTTTAATCCAAAAAGTCCTTGAACTTAAAAATTCAGAAATTCTGATTTTTTTGTCTCATTCTTCTAGATTTACAGATTTTTGCTAGATTAACTATTAGCCTAGAAGTATCCCTACTTTCTGAACCTCTAGAATTTTCTCTATTTTCTGAACCCGGCACACATGCGCTCGCTACGCCCATCCATGTTCTTCTTATCATCATCACGAAACGCTTCCCTGCCCTCTCCCTCTGCCAACCGAACATTTTCTCTGGCGTCTCTCCCTCCCACACCCTCTCTCGTCATCTGAATGCTCCGAGAGGGGTCGGCGCCATCTCTCTCGTGACCACCCCGCACATGCCGAGACGAACAACATGAGTAGCAAAAAGAAGAAGAAGAAGAAAAAGAAGACAAGGACATCGTTCGCCTCTCCCCTTCTCTTCTCTATATTCTATCTTCTTCTTCTGAATGCTTCGCACTTTTTTTTTCGCCTTCTTCTCGCCCGCCCGCTTTTCTCTTCTCTCTTCAGTTTTTCGTTTTTCATGCCTTGCGCCCCGTCCCGTCCCTTCTACTCCACATTGTTTCTTCTTGTTCACTTCGTTCGCCTTTTTTTTCGGAAGAAGAAGAAGAAGACGTGCACGTCTTCTTCTTCCGATGAGGTGTCTAGGTATTAGTCAGTTTTCCATTGTTTATGTGGTTTCTGCGTTGCGCTAGGGTCATCTATTTTCAGTCTCGTGGGGGGTGTTGAAAATCGAGATTCTGGAATTTTTGGAATTTCTGAAATTTGGAAAGCTATGCTGGAAATACTGAAAATCACTGGGTCCATTTTTTCTGATTCCTGAGTCTTGAAATTTTCGGAAATTTAGAAAAAAATTTTGGAAAAAAATTAAAAAGCTGAAACTTTGGAAAACTTCAAATTTTGAAATTTCTGGAAATTCGAAAATTTTGATGCTGAAAATCCTTAGGTTAGTGTTTATTACTGTAAGACAAGTTTTTTTTGGGAAATCTAAAAAAATTAAAAATCCTAGAAGTTCGGAAATTTCAGAAAAATCTGAAAATTTCAATTCTGAAAATCACTGGTTTTGGAAAATCTGAAAAATCTAAAATTTTTGAAAAAACCAGAATTTTAGAAAATTCAACATTTTCAGAAAATTGGAATTTCTTTAAAAAAACGAAAAAAACCTGACAATTTGAAAATTCCTGGAATTCAGAAATTCAGAAATTCAGAAATTCAAAAATTCAGAAATTCAGAAATTCAGAAATTCAGAAATTCAGAAATTCAGAAATTCAGAAATTCAGAAATTCAGAAATTAAAAAATCTCGAAAACTTTCTGGAACTCCAAAACATCCCCTGTAACCTATCCTATATCATTTCCACTCCCTCTCTCAACATTCTATTATTATCTACAGTACTCCATCTAAGCCACGCCCCCTAATCCCCCCTTTGTCCCTTCGTAAATAGGATTAGGCGTTCTCATTTTGCTCCTCCCCATGACCTACTTTTTTGCATTTTTCTCTTTTTTTCCACGTGAATTAGCCACCCCTTCACGTTTGAAGTTTGGAGAAGTTAGAGACGCAGAGAAACGAGACACACTGCGTCTCTAGCCTCAGAACTTCAAACGGTCATAACTATGCTCAAAATCATCGTAGAAAGCTCATTTTTGTTGTACTTAAATTGGAACGTTGTGTATTTTTTGAAGCACCTAACAAAATTTATCTAAACTTTGAAAAAAAATATTCGTACATTTTTTTCATTTTGAGCTCCAAAATCGCTTTTTTGTGCTAAACTTTGATTTTTCACCAACATATTCAAAAATACACAAAATTTCCTACAAAACGGCTCAAAAACCAAGTATCTACAACAATTTTAAGCCCAGTTACAGCCATTGAAAGTTTCCGGGGTGAGAGACGCAGAGAAACGAGACACACTGCGTCTCTGACCTCCTATTTTTAAATGACCGTAACTCGGCTCAAAATAGCGCTAGAAAGTTGGTTTTGAGTGGATTTTGAAGTAAATGTTTTGAATTTTTTCAGATTCAACAATTGAAAGATTTGAAGTCAAAAATTTACAATTTGAAACAAGCAAATTATGAGTTTATCAATTTTGGGAAACGTGCTTGAAAACTAGACAAAATTCCCTTCATAACGAAGCAAAGATCGAGCTTCTAGAACATTCCTGGGCCGAGTTACAGCCATTTGAGTTTTGGAGGANA